AAGAGAAGGTCATTGCTGACGCTCTGGGGAGAGTGGCTCTTCCTTCCTGCCTCCGCCTCCCGGGAAATTGAAGTGTCTTTCTTTTTCCTTTTGCCAAACAACTTCTTAAAAGGCTGGAATTTGCCTCCCTTCTTCTTGTCTGCGGATTACAGGATAAACACTCGCTGCGGTTTGACAGGGCTGCACCCCGGAGCCTCAGAGCAAATTACAGCTGAGCTGCCTTGGCCCAGGGAGCTGGGGCAAAGGGCAGCCATCACAGGAAAGGGGCGGCCAAGCCCTGTGCCAGGAATGCCAGGGCCTGCCCTGTCCACGCACAGTCAGGCGGAGACAAGCAGGAGCGCAGTGCGCGTCTGCCCCAGGCTCCCAGGAAGCAACCTGGGACAACACGAAGGGGTTCTAAGCCTCCAGGCACAGCACCCCTCGCACAGGCCACACAACGGTGGCGTCAGCTTTCTTCAACAAAGCAGGTGGCCCGTGCCCTTCTCCACGGGAGAAGCTGAGATAACGCATAAGCCACACGGCTGTTTAAGAAAAAGTGTGTGTGTGTATCATCTCTTCTGAGAAGCACTCGTTCAGCCTTCGCACACAGAAGAAAACCGCTAACTCTTGGTATAAGCGTTGCCCCCTATCCCCTCCATCCCCATATAGTTCTAGTTTCTTTCTCTTGTCTCCTTTTAAAACTACTGCGAAGAGCCCCACAGGAATCGTTATGAACATTTTCCATTCATTGCTTCATCCAGGCACAACCCAGGCTCACAGCCAGCATTGCCTACAGGTATTGTAGGTAATACCTTCCAGTTCAGTTTCAGATACAAATTCCTCACATCACTCCACTCCCACCTCGGCAAAGGAAGTATAAATCACCCCATGCCAGGGTATCTTCTCAGATCTTCCCTTTAAGAAGTTTACAGAAAAGAAAAAAAAAAGTTTAAAGAACATGTATCCAGTAATCAGGCACTCTTTTTCCTAAATTATTTAACCCTTACTATGCATCACTGCTCTAAGAACTTTACAAATATGAACTCAGTCCTCACCACAATTCTGTAAGGTTGGTAGCATTGACATCCCCATTTTACAGATGAGAACCCTGAGGTACAGAGAGATGAGCTAACTGTCTATGTCATGGGAAACATATCTTTGAAGCTGGAGTCGGGAGCTTTGCGGGAAAAGGAAAGTTGAAACATTTCTATACACAACGTGTATAGAAAAACATCGGTATAAAACACAAAGGTATAGGGCCCCCAAGTTAGTATCAGAGCCCCCAGAACTTTGCTCGACAGAGAGTCTACAGAGAGATCTGGGTATAAAAATGAGGTTACTGATGTTCAAAGGTAGTTGCCTCATCTCCTCTGGTGATCTTCAGCTCTGGCTTTTCTGAGAGAAAATCTGAAGGGTGGAAGAAGTGGTTTAAGTCACTTTGCCCTAAGCAGTGGCATCAGACAGTGAGGAAGCAGATACAATAATCACCAATTACAAAAAGACATATACTGGGATCCTTAGTACAGATGCAAACAGACCTTCAAGCGTCAGCGGTCCCTGAAACAACACTGTATCATTTTACATTGAAATGGAAGGCAGATTTCTAACACACGAGATGCCTTCCATATCCAAGGCTTTGTGCTAGGCATGTAGTCCTCAAAAAAGTTAAAATTTCACTCTGTATTATTTAAAAGACGATAAAGTGTGCAATACAATTGAGACAATATCTGTAAAAAATAATTAGAAGGTTTGATTTCAGAATGTTTGTATGCTTTCAGTGGTCACTTATTCAGGAGTATAGGCCAGAGATTTTCATGACATCTTCTTTTGGTATCCACGAGCAAAATCTCCAGTGGATAATTTTAAAAAATTACCACCAGAGGATTTCGAAGACCAGCAAAGAAATTAGGCAAGTGTTAAAAAAAATTGGCCTTATATAAAATGAGTCAATTAAGTATCTTAAATTTTAAAAAATTCTATAAGGCACTACAGGTATCATTACATTATTATATAATTGGTCTTTGGCACTGACTGATAAGTCAACATTTTGTTTTTGATCATCCAAGGCTCAAAGCATGTAAATGACACCATTATTGTGAATGGTCACCATGATAAATGGTCAAACAGCCACTTAAGCTAATTTCACTTATTTCTGAGACAAATTCTTCCTTCTTCCCTTTTTATCAATTGCCTTTTTCTCACTGCAGAAATATCTAACCCTAAATTGTCTCAACAGGAATATTCTCAAAGACCATAGCAAAAACCTAAAAACCTCAGTTATGAATCATTCCTCCCAGCCTGGGCCCACTGATCCAGCTTTTAGGTTAACTAGACAATTTTTTATTATGTCAGAATTTATTGATAGAAAAAAAGATCATCATTTGCTCTAAAGTCAAGGTGGATGTGGTGGCGTTCAGTTGAGCTGGAACCAAGGGAGTGAACGATCATCAGAGACAAATTACAGTTTCTGGAACAGGTTACTTGTGTATTTAACTAACGGGTGACTTGGTCAGTCAAGAAGGCGGATGGGGTCCTTTTTGTTGCCTCAATGTCCAGAACGGTGGCGGCCACCATATACAATATTCGTTGCATTGGTCACATTGCTGGGGGGGGGGGGGGGGGGAAACAGAGCGTGAACAGAACCTGGAAAGAGCTGAATACAAACACAAGGACGGGACAGAAACAGCCTTGGGGAGATGCCAGGATGAGGAGCCTCAGCCCGGAGAACCTGCTGGGCTGCAAGCAAGCAGAGAGCGGCCTCCCTCAGGGGGCCCCGTCTGCAGAGCTGGCCCGTTGAGGACTGTTTGTGGACCAAGCACCCCAGAACTTTGTGCTGCACTTTAGATGGGCAATCACTTGGCATGAGTACACACGTATTATCCTGGAAGACGTGTCAAAGTCCAAATGTCCGAGAGCACACAGCTCAGAAGTACTCGGGAAAGGCTGTCTCAGCAATCCCTCGGTTATTATCAGGAAGGTAAGAGAACAATAAAACCTACCTGAACTGCCCATCCGACAACCACTCCTTCCTGCTGCGAGGAAAAGAGCGTCTAAGTCCTAAGAAGGCCATTCTCTCTTGGGAGGAGGGGTCAGAACACGGAAGCTTACAATCTGCTCCAAAGACTTAGTGTTTGTTCACATCTCGGTTACAAAAAGTAATTTCCATCGTCCTCATTTGCAAAATTAGTAACATACTTTCTGTCAAGATATCTTTACATTTTAAATACAATTTAAATGTGTATTTAAAATGATAATTTTACTAATGACTGTGGCAATTAATTAATGTTCCAGGGCTAACTTTATGGAAAGTCCCAGTAACTACATTTAGGCCCACCCTTCAGACAGCAAACTGTGATTAAGCAACACCAATAGGGAATGAGCCTGTAGATCAGAGGAGGAATTATACTCTTTCTGAGTTGATCCCCCAGTTTTATTCTCAAAGTTCAGTATAAGATTTCTCATATTCAAAAAACAAGTACCTAATTTTGTTGTTGTTGTTGTTAATCCTCACCCTAGGATATTTTTTCCCATTGCTTTTCAGAGAGAGCGTGGAATGGAGGGAGGGAGGAAGAGAGAGTGAAAGAGAGAGAAACATCAATGTGAGAGAGACACATCAATTGGTTGCCTCCCACATATGCCCCGACCGGATGTGGGTAGCAAACCCACAATGCAGGTACATGCCCCTGACTGGGAATCAAACCCTTGACCCTTCAGATGCAAACAGACACAGTAATGGTGTCATTTAACACTTGCCTAATGTTCTTTGAGAGGGCCAGTGCTCTAACCCCTTAGCCACCAGCCAGGACAACAAGTACCTACATTTTATGAAACATTTGCAATTCAATGCCACAACAACCATTATGAAAACCTGAGATGAGCCTATAAATATGCATTAAATGAACTATTTTATGATCGATTTATGATTTGGGGGCTGTATTAACAGTCTGTCTCCACAGAATCAACTGGCTAAGTGCATGGTCATCAGCAGAGGCTATTTTCTTGACAGATGACACCAACTGTTACCATGAATATTTTTTGTACAGATGGGGCCTAAAAGATCAAAGCAACTTTAACAATGTAGTAAGGCAGAGCACTTCTGCAATGCTGAGGTGAAATATTCCCACAGACAAATGCCATAGAGCAGGAGAACAGTTTAGCAATGTTTCCAACAGAGTATTTAAGATGGCATTTTAGAATTTTACAACACAAATTTAATTTGGTTGGGTGGTTGGGGTAGTGGGGAGAAGGAGAGAGGGAGAAGGAAGAAATATTCCCTCTACTAAATTGTGTCTTTTTAAAAATTGGCTACAGTTCTAGTTAAGGGTTATGTACATGGGCCCCAGAGATAAGAAGAGTTGGCTCAAATCCTGATTCCATTTCTTACTAGCTACGAAAACATCTGCTTGCCAGTCTCTCTGGAAATGTACCATCTTAAGATGTAAGACTGAATTTATTGGGGAAAAGACAGTGGGTGCCACATTGTCTTAATATCTCACCATTTTTGTGTTATCATTTTTCACATGAAAGGATGTACATATGCATATACACTATCCTCAGGGATCATGGTAATTTTCATTCTTTTTAAGTACTGAATTAATTTATTGTCATCATCCAACAATTATATTAGGGATTTTTTTCCATTTAAAAAAAGTGCTCATTATCCATTACTTCATAGATATAATTATGTACTGGCTGCATCATCATAATTGTTAGTTTACATAGACATTTCTAAAAATTAAAAATCACTGGGCAAGTCAAGCAAATCTGATTCGTTTTCCATTTGTCATAAGGATGCAATTCTTACATTTCATTTCTAAACCTAAAATAATAGAAGCATACAATTTCTCTGCATTGGATTATTCATATGGTATGCTTTCAAATGAGAAACAGAATTTCCTATCATAGTTCACTTGGAGATCATAAATGTTTTCGTCTGGGGCTTCTCAGACAAGGCTCTGTGTGTCGGTACCAGGTTCTTATCCAAAGACCAGTTCATTTGAGAACCCAGGTAAAATAAAGTTAAATATGTTTCTTTACCAGGGACCTTCCAGGGTCTTTAATATCCTATATCATGATTGCTCTCCAAAGGAGCAGAGAATATGCAGTGCTTCCCAAAACTTGTTGGCTATGGAGACTTGGCTGTTTAGACATTCATCATGG